TTTATTTTAGTTAAAAATAATTATTCAACCGGTTGTTCCGAATTAGTTAAGGCAAAACTTTAGGAACCGGAAGAGCAATTAAAAATAATAATAAGTATTCAAGTTTATTAAAAGGTAATATTTATTTAGCATATTTCTTAATCATTAATAACACATACAAATCTTATAAAAGCAATTGTTTGAACTCAATCTCTCTAAGAACAAAAATACACTTAAGACCACTCTCAATGCTTTCTTATTAATTCATTTCATATTTCATATAATTTACTTTGGTTCGGTTTTATTTATATATTTATTTATCTAAGAATTAAAATATAAAAATTATTTAAATAATTTATTCAAAGGGACAATTTTAAACATTCATTTAATTATATAACAAGATTATGTTTAAATAATTTATTTGAAGTGATTAACTCACACTAAAATTATAATTAAAAAATAGATATACAACGTGGTTAATGTTTTCTATGGTTTAGGGATTTAATCAAAATAAAAGGTGAATTGAGCACAATGTACTCTTAACATTATGATTTTTGTTTTGAGATGTATTTGTGCACCTTTGGCTTTGAATAATTTGATTGCAGATCACGAGATTTCGCTTCTTCCCCTCGTCAGTAGATGCTAATCCCAACGAATCGGAGAATGACTTGGACCAACGTCAAGTTCCACTGCAGAGAACTGAGGTGCTCGACCAAGTGGTATTATGAGATCCTTCATAACCTCGTCTTCTTCCACGCTTATCTGGGCACCAATAAAGACAGCAGTGAGTATCACAAAAAAATGAAGCTTTTACTAGGGAAATGAAACAATCAACTCATTTCTTATGCTTTACAATGTATCGACTCAGTGATCTCTTGAATATATTCAGTAACAGTCTAATGGTAATTGGAATCTGCTTCTCATGTGTCACCACATAGCACAATGTTGAAGTTTGAACTTTAGCTATCACAAGACTGAAGTTTCAAGAATTTCAGCTTATATTTTTACACTGAAAAATATCAATAGGCCGCATTTACGATCTCAGCACCTCACCTTGTGAAGAAGCATCCTCCCATTAGTCATTTTCAGCTTATATTTTTACACTGAAAAATATCAATAGGCCGCATTTACGATCTCAGCACCTCACCTTGTGAAGAAGCATCCTCCCATTCACCTTGTGAAGAAAGCATCCCCATTAGTCATGTGTGGAGTCAGGGCAGGTATTCTACATACAGAGAGGGAATCGATAAACAGGAGAACATTACTTGCCACTGTTCCATTCTGAATGCTGGAAGTGCTTCCAAGGAAGACATTGTATCTAGCGGGGCCTGAATAAAAATCCTTTAAAGAAACTCAGAAGCAAACTCAAGACTATGGGAACTGCAAACAAGAGCTTTTATTAAAGCATATGAAGTCATTGCCTGAAATATTATATTACAACTACAATAGATCTGCCAAATAAAATAGTTCAGCATCCTCAAAGACAAGAACGAATTAACAATTCACATTGTGGGTTCAAAATTAGTACCATTCCTTGCTACAACGTAGATATCAGAATAGGCAGTCTGAGATAGTGACAATAGCGGGTAAGAATGAGAAATACAGCAGCAAGAGTTTCTTAAATTTCAGAAGAACGACCATCTCGTAAGACAATTTTCTGCGGATATCCCCCCATTAACTGAGAGGTACTCTTCATGGAAGTCATCTCTCCCATATATACAAGCCAAAGATGAAGATGTTATCCCTTAAAAAATGGCATTCCACATTGTTGCAAAAGTTGACATCTGATGGACATAAAAAAAGAATATAAGCAATTAACAGAAGTAGAAAATGCAGAAATCATCTTGTAAGGTACACGAGACTTGCAGTTAAACTGAAACCCTTGGTGGAGCATCAAACCATGAGTCCTCTGGTCAAAAAATCAGAGGGTGGAATCCCAGGTTTTGTTGGCCACTTTACAGGGCCTTCTTCTCGTCCAGATTCTGCTTCTGGTTCAATTGTATCAATATTCTTCACTTGCTCCTCCTTGTCCGCTTCAAGTGGATATGGCAATATGATAATCCAGCTTCAGAAACTGAACATAAAATTGGGTTATGAACGAACTCAGAAGTTCTGCTACAACACTAAAACTTGGAATCCACATAATTCAACTAATGAACCCAAATATACACACCAGCATCATTGACATCAGAATCTCCAGATGCCACAGCTGCTGCTGCGTTGCTCAAAGCCATAGCAAGCTTCTGCGGATGCAAATCGAAATATGTTATCATCATCACCATCTTCTGCTCTGGCACATATTTCAGAATCTCCTCTATGAGTATCCATCTCTTTAACTTCACAACGACTGTCTTTCCGAGCTTCGCCAGCATTTTTATTATCAGCCCAACTAACTGAGCGGTTAAGTTTCTTTGCTCCAGCAGATTTAAGAGAGGATTTGAGCACAACCTCACTTGATCCCACAGCCTTGTCAGTATCGGTTTCCTTCTCTGCTACAGCACTAATTGTACCTGAACCACTGATTGACACATTTAGTTGAAGGCAGTTCTACAATGCTAATTTTTTTTCCCTCAAAGCAAATGAGGATCCGGTATCAGACATTTTCCTCAAAGTCTTTACAAGCTCCTTTTCCTTGCACTTCTTTCGATTTCAAAACAGAACCCTGTCTAGACCCCGGGGTTGTCTTGGAAGCAGTATGTTCATCATTCATGATTATTTCACTAGTAAAGTCCATCTGATTAATAACTTCTTTTATACTGCTCGGCTTCCTTCTAAGAATTCCGGAATTCCTGGAACTGGTATGTTCATTGTTCATCATCATAGCACTAGTAAAACCTATCTCATTATCAACAAAGTTATCTCCTTTACCCAGCTTGGAATTGCTAGAATCAAACACTGCCAAAAAAAACCTCGCATTTGTAAAACTAAATAAAACGAAGTTTTTTCTCAGAATAATAACTTGAATAGTTGAGGGGGGGAAATCTAATCTCCATTTTTGCTGTTTTTTTTAAGGTGAAGGATTAGACACCAATTCTCTTTGTGGAACATAGCCTTCAATAGCATTGGAAGGACCCACCAAAGAAACTTCCCCAGCTTTTATTTCCTCATTCTCTTTATTCTTCAAGTTCGAAAACCCTAAATCCCCATTCTTCCCCAAACCCACGTCACCAAACAAACTCAAAATCGAATTAAGTTTCACGTGATTCAAAACGGAACACCTCTCTTCTTGTAAACTCCCAAGAGAGAGCTCCGCTATTAATCAGGCAATCGGCGGAGCAAAACCTGCTGGTTTCTTGTAAATCATAAACTGTGTTCTTTCAAAGAGATTCGATAACGGCCGCTTCGACGGGGCTCCGAAGGTAAGGGGTTTTGGCAGAGGGCGATACCGCAAGTGTCGGTGATCGGCCTCTCGGTTACGACATCCTCGTAGTCGCTTCGAGAAATTGAATCGAAGGAGATTAATTGTTTATCGTCTCGGATTCCATCGAGAAGATGGAGTTGAATCTTGTGTACGGCTTCTGAAACTGAGATTGACTGGTTTTCGCCATTGAGTTAGAAGACTTTGGAGCGATTTTTTTCCCCTCCTTTCTTAAAGGAAATTATTCATTATTAGCAAAACAAATATTAATGAGTAATGTATAAATTACTCATGGTTAAAAAGTAATTGCGGGGATAGCTCAGTTGGGAGAGCGTCAGACTGAAGATCTGAAGGTCGCGTGTTCGATCCACGCTCACCGCAAACTTTTTTTCCTCTTTTCCGTTGGGCTTTGTCTCTCTTAGCGGGTATGGGCAATTTTCTTCCACCTCTTTCTGGGCTAAAATGTTCGGTTCCTTGGAAGAGAATAGAATAGGGATGGAATGCATTTCTACCCTGAAACATTTAAATATCATATTATTTAAAAGTTTTACAAAGTATAATATAATTAAAAATAATAATAAATTTGATAATTTTAATGTTTTAAAGCTCAGCCCTGTAATTTACTGCTCCCGCTACAGCTCTTTGATCAACCTCCAACACTATCACTATGGTTCTTTTGTTTTGCTTCCCAAATCAGTTTCTTGAACTGTTTTAAAATAATATACATTTTATTTCCTTTGAATTGATTAGACCTAACTAAGTCAATTTAAACTTCGTTTGAACTAATTTTGTTATTTATTATGTGTAATTCTTGAAATTATCATTCAAGTTCTTAACCAAATTCAATTATTTTTAATTCTTTCATATAAATGTTTAATTAAATTATATTAATGTCCTGCTGTTGTTGTTGAATCATTGGGTATTACAGTCAATAGTAATACAAGACAAAAGTTAAGGGCTGTAAAAGGTATTATTGAAAAATGTCGGTGGTGATGGTTGGTCCATTAATGGAGGACCAAAGCATGCCAAAATTATTCATCCTACTATATAACTCACCGACATAGGCTATGGAGTAAGACCTAAGTGTCTGTTTATTTTTATTGCTTTCCCACATTTTCCCCTAGTAATTAATTTTTTAAGAAATAAATTTAAAAAAATAAAGGGGCTAAAAAGTTCACAAAGTTGGACGACAAGAGGCATTGTCCGGTTATAGAAATTTGGATAGTTGCTGGATTTGTTATAGTCAAAGAGTATAGGGTAAATATATTTATTTTAAATTAGTATCTAAAATTGATTTCATGATTCAAACAAGTCATTTAATTTGAACAAGAAGGTCATAATCTGGTACCTAACTGGACTAAAAAATTAGGTGCGAAATTGAATCCTTAGACTGAGTTAAAGTATTGGATAAAAATAATTAAGTGCCAAATTGAAGTTAAAGTCAAGTTCAAATTCGAAATAATGTGTTTACCCAAAAATATAGTTGAATAATACTAAAACATATATAAAAAATATATATTTTTAAATGTATTATTTGTAAATGTTGCCCTTACCTTAGTCTCTTACAGGATACATAGGTTTGCTCAAAGCATTTCAGAACTGTGACACATCTACTGAGCACGTATATTACACGAACCAATGAGATGATGCCATAGTGCTAGAGCTAAATCAGATTGATAGCAATTGCGCTTGGTATTTCCCGTTAACTTGATCGCTCAAATCTGAGAGTATCCAATTTTTCATCATCTCATCTCAGAGTCTCGGACATAGGAGACTACCAAAAACTCTCTAAGAAAACAATCCCAAATAGACATGGAGCAGGAGAAGGGACAAGACGCGCCGCCGTCCACTTCTCCCACATCGACACCACCTCTTCTTCCTCCGCCTCCGCCATCTTCATCATACGCGTTGTTCTTAACGATTATGAGCAAAAGGAGAACATGGGTATTTCTGTTTGTTCTGGTTTACGCTATCCTTTTAGTTTCTTCGTGGAATTCCCTGAAATCGATACTTTCTTGGTACAAATACCAATCCCGATCCTCTTCTCCTTCTTCCTGTTGGCCTGCCCTCTATGCGTCCGTCCTCCTCGGTGCCGTTTTCGGGCTGCTTTCCATGGTTGCGGCGCTGGCTGTGGCGGTGCCGGCCACTCTGGTCACGTGGATAACTATTGTGGTCTTGCTCGCTTTCTTTGGGAAACCAAAACGGACCTTGGTGCTCGAAGGAAGGAAAATCACTATAGAAATCGCTAGCTTCGTGTTCAAGATTTTGTTGAAGGAAGGGAACCTTGTGGCTGCTGTTTGTGCCGTTTTGGGTTACTTCGCATTCGTCAGGAAGAACTCCGGTGAGTGATTTGAGGCCTTTTTTTAGCTGGAGATGAGGTTTTTGTATGTGCATATTTGAAGAAAAATGTAGATTTTTCATTTTTGTTAACCTTTTGTTCTCCTTTTCCATCTAAGACGTCGTTTATTTTTTGTTAATTCAACTTAGATTAGGCATTACCGAAAGCAACGACAAGACTTTTATTACAGGGCTATGTAACAGTTATTACCCCCTGTTCTTGTTGCTTCTCTGTATAGAAGTACTCACGAGCTGTTATTTTCACTCACTTCAAAACTTATCTGTTTACAGAGTAAATGTTTTCCATAATTTAGTTTTTTGTAATACTAGTGAAGGTAACTGTGTTTTGGAATGATTTCCCATTGCTTTACTAAAAGCCGTGTCGGGTGTGGAAATGAGGGTTTGGTCCCCCTTCAAATGCAGCATTGCCATTTATCTACGGCTTGGACATTACCATCTTAGAGATTCTGAGTTTTGCGTGACAGAAAGTAACCCCCTACCCTTACTGACAGAAAGTATTCGAATATGAGTAGTATATACGGTACGATCCTTAGACTACATGAAAAAGACAGAGACAAAGGTAAGCATGCTTGTGTCCAGTGTATATCCTGTAGTACCATGCCTATTTCCACTCGTCAAGGTTCATGTTGTTAAAGATGGCTGAGAGCTGTTCCTCTGAATCATCATCGTTGCACTTCCAAACTGAACAACTCCGATATGAATATGAATCACAACGCAATATGTCACAGTTAGGAGAGCAATACGGTGTAACGAAGATCGTTGCGTGCAGGCAAGCCAACCAATCATGAATGCCTTGGACATAAGAGCAAAGAACAGTGCCCCAATGAGTGTCATGACATCGATGTCGGAGCTACACATCACTAATCTTGTGTTGCAGATGACAAATGGATCTAACTTCGCATGATTGCAGCTCTTTCTGCATTGATTTTTTCCTCGTAACTCATATTTAGAACACGGTTGAGAGCGTTGTGCTTGGGTTAAGGCTTAGGGGCTAGCCATGTGAATCGCTAGCACAATAGATGAGGCAAATAATTATGTGAACCAAGCTATATTGCTTGCCTTTCAAATTAAAAGTCGTCAGCTTTTTCCTGGTAACATGGTCATAGTTTCGCCAACGTTACCATTGGATGCCCGACATCTTCCAAGGATTGAAGTCATCGGTTGTGGACCATCTATTATATATTTATTGAAAGTGTCTAGAAAAACGGACATTGTGAATGGGCTTAATATGTAAGTGTCTCAAAAAAAATTATATTAATCTGTTTTTGGGTTAATAAGGAGAAACCCAAATTATGTTAGCCCAATTAACACATCTTTGCTATTGATTCTGGTTTGGTTTGGTGCTGTTGCTGACATGACATGATGGTGTTTGGTTACCCATTTCACACTTGAGAACGGAAGCAGATGCTACGTACTTATTTAATTTCCATTTAATGATATTGACTTATGTATTGAAAATTCAACAAATGAAGCAAACAGTCAAATGATGTACTCTGTCCTAAATCACTAAATTATCAAATTAGTTTTAAGACTGATTCAATCTCTCTTTGCCTCTATAAAAATATTATATATACCCCATTGATTCTTCTGAACTATAGTCACTGCATTATCAAGAACGTTTATGTCACTGCCAAAAAGCTAAACATTATTACTAACTCAATTTGGGAAGAAGACATCCTGTCATTAATTATTTATCATTTATACAGTATACTATTATATATTTTCACATCTTCTCTTATTAGAAAAAATAAATTATATAGTTAGTTATTAAATTTTAAATTCTGCATTAACTTTAATTATAATTTTAGTTGTTAAATATTAAGTTTTGCATTAATTTTAATTATAAGTTTTAAAACGATTCTATTAAATTTTAATTTTAGATTTACTTAGGACATGAAGCCGTTAAATCATTAATATCATAATGAGGAGGTAGTTTCTTCCATGTTTTTGTACAAGATTGCCGTTTTCGGTCAATCATCGGTCACTATTTACGACAAAATCAATACCAAAACGTTAGTATTTTAGTCTTCTTTTCTCTCCTTAAATTGGTTTTTTACTAAACTCATTCAAAATCGATGAAAACTTATCTAAATGTTTGATATTCTAATGCTACGATCTTCTGTGACAATAATTTGATGAGCCTAATTCTCATGTATATTGTTTGTCTTATTGAAAGAATGATTCTCATCATTTTAATTTTTTAACAAATACTTCAAAACCATCCAATCTAAAAAAGTAAAAAAATATGGATTTTTGTGTTTAGTTTCGCGAGTTTTAAAGAAGTTTTGAAAAAATTTAAATAAATAAAGTATAGATAAAGATGAGACAAATTCATTGATATGACAGTAAAAAATGTCGGAGAATGATAGTTTAAAGTTACGGTTGAAAAATGATGAAAAAACTCTATTTTAGTTAAGAAGATTATGAAGTGAAATAAATAATAATTTTTTAACATAATGTTAGTACCAAAACTACCACGTCATTCTACCGTTTCGAATTTAATAATCTAATACTTTAATTGAATTCAAAAGTTCAGTATTAAAATTGATATAAAACTTAAAGGTTGATGATTAACGGAATAATCTACCCTGCCAAAAATTTCTTTCGGTATTGAGTGAATATATGTCTACAACAAAGCATGTGTACGTATAGATTTTGCGCCCAAAAGAAAGAAGCGTGTGTACGTATAGATGTGAAAGGAGTGTAGCCCACGTTGTGGGGCTTTCCACATGGAAAGCTTTTGTCGGTTATCAATTAACAGGTTGCCTAACCTAATCAGATTTCTCTTATCAAATGCGACCATGGATTAGAGCAAATGGAATCCCCCGCAATTATTTTAAAGCACAAAAAATAAAGGAAAAAGCTCAAAACTTCACAGGCCAGGAGAATCCAACTTCCCCAGTAATTTTTCTTTTCTTTTACGGGGAGGTAATCACATGGGCCGAGACACTTGTTTCGGTTAGCTTTATTAAAATTCAAGGAAACTGTGGGGGAAATCAGGTGCAGTGCTTGTATCTGTGATTGTTGATACCCAGTATTACACCATCCCAATCTTACCTTTGTCTTTGAAACTCTTGGGTTTGCTTTCTTTGCCCTTCATTTTCAGTCCCTTCATGTTTTCTCCCCCCTCATTTCTTGCATCATTTTCTGCAATTAAAACCACCCTAGTTCCTAAGCAGAAACACTTAAACTTGCAAATCTATCTGCTTTGTTTGTTATGTTTATACTTTTTTTGTGTGACCATATGAAGAATGATCTGCGTTCACATTGGAGTTTAAGGTACTGTAACTCTGTAATCTCCACTTTGGGTATCCTTAAATTTTGGAACTTTGTTAGAAGGGTACCCAAATAATCTGTCCTTTTTAAAAAAGTAATTCTGGGATTTTTGCCTGTTGATTGATTTGTAGGTTGTTTGCTATACAGGAAGGTTATGGCTGGCAATGGGATGTTATACCCAATTCTTGGATTTGCTTCATGTGTGGCTTTTATTTATATGTCTTTTGGTGGTTTGAAGCTTAGTCGTTTCCCTAGGGAACAGAGATTAAGTTTTGTGGAAAGGAATGGGACTCAGTTCTTTTTGGATGGGAAACCTTTGTATGTTAATGGATGGAATTCTTACTGGTTAATGTCCCATTCTGTGGAGGAAAATACTCGACCTAAGGTCAGTGCAATGCTTCAAGCTGGTGCGAAGATGGGTCTCACTGTTTGTAGAACTTGGGCCTTTAATGATGGAGGCTATAATTCTCTCCAGATTTCCCCGGGCAATTCGATGAGCGAGTCTTCAAGGTATTTGTTCTGAGATTCTGGTTTTTTATTTTGTAAATTTTGATGTCTGCGTTGTTAATTATCAGCTGTATAATCACAATCCTATATGATCCGGGTGTTCAATGCAAGCACCGTTTCGGTTTTGAGCTTACAAGAGATTTACAATGTGCATATTGAAGATGATTTAGATTATTGCACAGTTGCTAATCTAAACTAGGCTTGTCTTGAATATATGTGGTAGGGCTCTCTAACATGAAATCTAAGCGTTCAGATTTCAAATTGCTTCGTTTTCTCAGCTGCTTGATTAGAAACATGTCAAAAAACTGTGAATTATTGACTCTGTTGTGCTCTCTAATGTTGGTTAGTATGATTGTAGAGTACTTTTTCTTAATAATGGTTATTTATGTTGATGACGTTCCTTTTCTGCAGGCCTTGGATTATGTCATTGCAGAAGCAAGGCAACATGGAATTAGGCTCCTTCTTAGCTTAGTAAATAACTTGCAACCATATGGTGGAAAGACACAGTATGTCAACTGGGCGTGGCAAGAAGGCATTGGTTTGAGCTCTTCTAATGATTCCTTCTTCTTTGACCCATCAATCCGCAAATATTTTAAGAATTATGTCCTGGTATCTCACCATCTATCTAAGTTCTACTTGTATTTTTTTCCTCATATTTGAATAATGAGAATTTTTCCCCTGCATCGAGATGCATGTATATCACCGCATATCTTCTGTGAACTGCTCTTGGAGTGCTAACATTACATTGTTAAAATATACAAGTCTTAATGTTCAAAGGGGAATCTGATACCGAAAACGTCATATCAACTTGCTTCTTATTAATTTAGTCCTTATTGGATATGACCCTATAAACAAAAAGGTCCAATCGTTTCATCTGTAGATAACAAACACAAAAGCTATTAACAACAATGTGGTTGTGAAAGAGAACTGAAAGTGATAGGAAATGTGTTGCTAAGCTTTGTGAAGTATTGTACTTTATTTTTCTTTCTTATTTTATGCCCGAGGGGAAGGATATAGGTTTGTTCTATTTATCATTGATTCATCGCAAGGAGCTTGCATATTAGATAGTATGTCACAAGTATGATTCTTACCGGGTGCTAGCCAACAATAGTAGGAACATACTGTCTTCCCGGGTTCTTCTTTCTACCAACACAATATATATTGAACCTCATTTCAAATTGTTAAGAAACATGATTGTGTGTGAATAAGGTTGACAAGGCCAACTAACTGTATGATCTCAAATTTGAGGGATAATGTAGTTTCTTCCTACGATGTTCTTTTTCTATATTTGCAAGATAAATTCAAAAAATCTTTTCTAAGCTGCAATGAAGTCTTATTGTGATGTATTTCTTGCTCTCAGACCGTCCTCACCAGGAAGAACACCATCACAGGAATCGAATATCGGAATGATCCTACCATCTTTGCTTGGGAGTTGATAAACGAACCTCGTTGCATAACCGATCCTTCTGGGGATACTCTTCAAGTAAGTTATGAGATCTTGCACTATTTAGATGGACCAGAAAAAGACCGTACATGTTATTTTAAGCACTGATGAATGCAGTATTGACCCTGTATTGGTTTCTAACTTTTCTCTATAATCTAGACCAATTATGTTTAATTTAGATGAATGTTATGGTGTTGTGCAAAATGTTCATATTTCAGAAAACAGGTTTTACATGTTGTATGCATTCATCTCAAAGACCAAGATTTTACTTTCTTCCAAGATTTATCGTTTTGTATCGTATCGTGAGTTCAATTTTATGGCATTCCATTGCAGGATTGGTTAGAAGAGATGACGGCTTTCGTAAAATCAATCGACAAAAACCATCTATTGACCATCGGCTTAGAAGGATTTTACGGTCCTAAAAGCCCCAAGAAGTCAACTGTGAATCCAGAAGAGTGGGCATCAGCCCTTGGATCTGATTTTATGCGCAACTCGAACATTACGCATGTTGATTTTGCCTCTGTTCATATATATGCCGACCAATGGTAAGCAATATTGACCACTATTTATGAAATGTATCAGTATGTATGTAAAATATCAATTGCTTGATACGGAATAAAGCCTTATAATTTTCTCGAATCTTTTTCGTACCCTCTTTGGTAGGTTTCATCATCTCGGTTTTGAAGAAAAACGGAACTACGTTTCCAAGTGGATGCGCTCACACATTGAAGATTGTGACAAGGAACTGAAGAAGCCGGTTATGTTCACAGAGTATGGCTTGTCCGACCAGAACAAAGACTACCAGCCATCCCAACGAGAGCAGCTTTATAGAACTGTTCTAGACATCATTTACAAGTCTGCAAAGAAGAAAGGGTCAGGGGCAGGCGCTTTAGTCTGGCAATTCTTCGTCAAAGGAATGACAGAATACAGCGATGATTTCGGGATCGTACCATGGGAGTCCCAACTGATTTACAAACTGAACATAGAACACTCGTGCAGATTGGCTAGAATCCAAGGACTTGTTCAAGAAAACGAAAACTTCAAACAACTGTGTTCCAAGAGAAAGCAAAGCTAGCGGTATCAAAAAATTCGATTCGTTCTGGTGAGGTAGTTTGTGGCAGATATAAAAAGTTTATTGTACTGTATTTTTTCTTCTTCTCATATCCCATACAAATTACAATATGGTTCAAGTAGATATGCAGATATATATAGTACTTGATTGCGAGTTTGCTGCAAAATTTTCGTAGCAACTGTGAACCGACTGTCTACAATGATTACCAGATCGTCAATGCATGTTAGAAATTTGAATGAATCCCGATAATAGCACCTCTTCCAAATTTCAAGTATGTTGGATGAGCCCCAACTAATTGTTGGACATAGCAGATACAGCATTCACAATCAAGAAAATATCTTTGAAAGAATCTGAGCTGGGAAATATTAAACCTCGAATGGATCCAATCCAGTATTTTTTTTCTATTTGCAAAACTTAAACCCCAAAGTTGAGAAATCAAGGAGCACACGAATGTTTATTTATTTATTCAATACATAGAAGATAGGGTTTTCAAGTCATTATGAAGATTAAAAATGCTCAACCACGCTTTGCCAATCTCGGAGAAGACCTTGTCCCTGTTCCACCTTGCTGCAGCTTGTCTTTATCGTTCTTCAAACCCTTTACAATCCTCCTCCTCTTCTTCACGACCTCGGATTCAGCATTAACCTCCTCGGCAATCTTCATTACATCGCCAACGATTCCATCACTGAAACTCCTCTTCTCTTTATCATTTGCCACCCTCTCAAAATCATCCCAGCTTCCTCACTGGACCTTTCCTCGACGCCCTCTTCGCTTCTCTCTTCACCACCATTTCATCACTTTCACTTTCGCTCTCCACGTCGTCGTCGTCAATAAGATCGAAGAATCTCTTCCTCTTAATGGCCATTGGAGCAGGAGGGGGCGACATCGAAGCATCCCTATTGTTTTTCATAACAATCGGATCATCATCCTTCTCGTTAAGGAGCTTCTCGCGTTGGGCTTTCAGTCTCTTAACGTTGCCTTCGATCCGCCCTTGGAGACGGAGGCGCTTGAAACTGAGGCCACCCATGGACCAGTGCGCTTCGTTGGCCCAGGACAGCAGCGGGTCAAGGACCGGAACCGGAGGATCCACGCGTTCGGAATTGAATCGGGTCTCGGTATAGATACGAGGGCGCGGAAGGCTGCTGCCGTAGAACTTGCCCGGGCCTAGAGGAACCACCATGTTTTGGGGATTGGTGGTGTTTGCAATTGTGAGAAGTTTTTGAGAAATAACTTTAGATTTCAAAAGGGTTGGATGAACTGAGTGAGAGTCGGTTGGTGGGGTTTTTATCCATTGAAGAAGGTTAGTGTGGCGGGTGAATTTAGCGGGAAACGTCTGGTTTGGCGCCCAAACTTAGCGCCACCCTGAACTGGCGAGTTTTTCGTTAAGCATTTTACCCAGATTTGATTTGATCTAATTTGTTCCTGGGCTCTCCTTTTATGGGTATTTTCCACTTCTTTACTGGGCTGCCTTCTAACGGCCTTTCTCAACTTTGATCGTTTCCTGGTACTATACTGAGCCAGCGTCCCATCATGCACCACAAACTATCCTAAAATGAATTTTAATTGATTTGGTTTACATCATTCAACTTTTGTGCTTATATCTGCTCAAATTATAAATTTTGAGATTTGCATAAGTGATAATATTATATTTATGATATGGTGAATAATTTATAAAAATTATTTAACAAACAATTATAGGTATAAGATATTTATATGTAAATTTATTAGTTTCACGTTTTAATATTAAGTTATATATTTATCATTTTATTTAAAATTTGTGTAAAAATAAAACTCATTTAGTGACCTCAATGGTTAGATGGGTGTTGTTCTCTCATGAGGTCCTGAGTTCGAGTAGCTGACTTGTCAATGATTAAAAAATATTTTGAACAAATACTATTATATTGTAATCATCTTAAACTATTAAAAAAATGTATAAACGTAATAAAAATAAAATTACTTTTACAATAATTTAATTATTATTTAAAAAGAAGGGAATTGTTGGATACACAATATTACCTATTTTAGGGTTTAGGATTAAAGATCTATATTTTAGTGTATATAGTTTGATTTTAGAATTTAGACTCTAGAATTTAAAAGGTTTAGAATTTAAAAACGTGTGGAAGTATTTTTTTTTTCACCAAATTATCAAATAATAATCCTTAACAGAATGATACTCTTATCTTTTTCAATTTCAGTTTATATCTGACTAACGCATGATATCATTCTGGTTAGGAGTTTTAACAATTATTTTAAAGGATATTATTTCACATGCAATCTAGACAAAATTTATTTTATACAAACCTGATTATTTTAATCATAAATTCTAAAATACTATCCTCTAAATAATAAATTCTAAATCTAAATCCTAAAACATAAACCCTAAATAAAATTTCTAAATCCTAAAATATTCAGATTTGAATAATTAAAGTTTACAAGATAGTATTAGATAAATTTTCTTAATATGTTTTATGTGTATAGTATATAATGATAACAGGTCGAGTTGATTCGGGTTTTTATCAAATCCGACATGACTCGATAAACAAATCTCATTCACTCAAATTAGATCCAACTCAATTTTAAAGAGGTATCATTTTACCTCAAACTGAGTCTAAAATTTGAGATAAAAAATCGCATCTAGTCCAACAATATATATATATATATAATATTTTTTTTATAAAATAGGGACACTATTGAAAAAAATCATAGAGAGTAATATTATAGTAATTATATTTAAATTATCTTGGGGTTAGCCGAAAATATTTCACTCTAGATCTAAATCCGCTTTGACATCATCATTTACAATACCCAACACGACTTAACTCGGCCAAATTCAATCCGAATAATTTTTTTTAAAAAAAAAGCAAACCTATCAAACCAAGTCTAAATTTATAAAACCCATATTAAATTTATCAAACCATTTATTTAATATTTTATATTGTTAGTTAACATAATTCAATAAAAATAAATATTTTTTTAGCACATGCCTAATATAATATAGTAAATACCATATGTAATAAAGATGGACACGGCCACATGGTAGCATGTCTCATGCTTCCCTTCATGCGTACGACTCAAGTGTACGTGTTTTACTTTTACCTAATGTGGTGCTCTCTTTGCCTTACCCAACATTAAATGTGTGTGTGTGTGTTTTAAATAAGTTAACTAATATCTTTATTCCTTAATTATTGGGATAATTCAATCACAATTCACAATACCGCTGTACTTGATTACTGCCCAGTGCCCATCATAATGTGTTTACATTTGTAATTTTATTTAGGGTTAATTCCATCAGAAACCCTCCAATTTTGATGTAGATTTTAAATTTATCTTGAAACTTCAAAAAAAAAAGTTATAATGAAGTATTCAGAATATCTATATCGTATCGATTATGTCCATATTGTCAACATAGTCATTAGTTTTACATTAAGTACATACTAGAATTTGCACAAACCAAGTTATTTCGATGTTCAAAGTGATGATTGTTATTCTTAGAAGTCCTAGGTTCATGCACCAGGGACAACAAAGGCGTTTGATATTTCATTGTCAAATAGATAGAAATCTTTAGAACTGATGCTATCTTATAATCATTTTAGATTAATAAAAGAAATACAAACAATAATTTAACGTAAACTTATAATATATGTGTGTTTAATCATTAGTTTTGAGCATTAAATATTAACTTATATTTGATATAAACCAAACTTCAAAGCGTGAATCAAGCTTATCTATTATGAGAACGATTTATATTTTACGTGTTAAGAAAAAAAGTAGCTATATTTTTTTAAATTTTATTGGCATTCTCTGTTTTTCAACACATCCATGCATTAGATCCACACTAATATTTTGAGGGCTCAATTATAGTGTTGCTTTAGTTTAGGGTCCAATTCAGAGTTATGGCGATAGTTTGGGGCTTTTATAGAATTAACCCTTGAATTAATAAAAAGGTTAAATTAATAAAACAACTCTTCGGTGTTAATATTTTCTTTCCACGCAATTCTGCCCCGGAAACTATTGAAGAAATTTCGGCTTTCAAATTATCTCATTAAAAATAAATTATTTTTCCCCAAAAGTATTTTTTGAGTGGGTGTGTCTAAATGTACCAAATGTTTTACTAAACATACCAATTCTTTTAATAGAATAATAGAAAAGGAGAGAGAAGGCATCATTTTTATTTCTTTATTATTTTTTAATAAATGTATAGGGTGTATGGGTGGCAAAGAAATAAAATTGGGTAAATGGGTTATGTTAATGTGTGACGCACGGGTTGGGTGTTATTCTATCAAAAGTCTCATATCTGTTATAAATTTGTTCGATTAAAAATATTTGTGATACCTGAAAATTCAAAGAAAAATAAAATTAATATGTAATAAAAAATAAAATTAAATTGAAATTGAAATAATTTAAACAAATCAAAACCTAATTTTTTTATTATTTGAATATATATATTCTCAATTCATAATTTTTTCTGATTTAACTCAAAATATATAAAAATGTCGAAGATATTTTTTGTTATTAATATTTAACTCTTCCTTACGACTAACATATGGGTCTTCTCATACAGATGCAATGTCACTTTTATATTCTAACATTAGTCAGATCATCTAACGGTTAATAATACGATGGCCAAAAATCAATGGATGAGATGGAATTGCGCACGCCAAGCTCAAACCAATGTGCGCTAGGGGTGTGCAAATTCGGGTCAATGATTTTTCGATCCGTGTCCCGACCCAGATGTTTCGGGTACCTGTATGTCGGGTACCCCGATACTCAAATTTTTTTCTTCAAATTATTAAATTAAAAAACACACAAATTTAAAGACTAGAATCACTTGAAAATCAATAAGTATTCATATTTTATCAGATTAACTGTTAAATGTTTATTTTATGTTTTTTAAATTTAAATATTATGTTTAATGTGAAACTCTAAATATTATGAGGTTTTATTTAATGGGTAGTGAGATTTATTTATGATAAATTTTAGTGTGGTGGATTATTTAAAATAATAGATAGTGGTTTAACTTGGTATGTTTAGAAAAAGTTGGTATCTTTAGTAGTACCCTTTTTGAGTTAGCGAAGATCAGTCTTTTCATGGATCTTCGTGTAGACGACGCTTCGATCTCCAAGCGACTTAAACTCAACCAGGTTTTTTTCTTCTTTTAATTAAGCCAAATCATGACGTATGTTTTTTACTGTGGTGTGCTTTATAGTTTGATTAAGAGTGTTGGAGTGGATGGAATTTGATTTTCGTTGCTTTTTGATGAATGATCTTTTGATTTGATTGTCGGCTTTTGATCGGAGTTCTCTCTCTCTCTCTCTCTCTCTCACTGAATGAGATTCGTATGGAATTCTTTATATGTATTTTTTTAAAGTCTCTGTTTGGTTGCTGGGAAAATTCGCTCCAAGGGAAAAAGTGAAGGTCTTTCCTGCACGTGGATTAGAAAAAAAAAAAGGTTTCTACTTGTCTTCCGCTTTGCTCTCATGTTTCCCTGTGGCCAAGCAGAGCCATGGATTAATTTCTGTTTGTTTGGATTTGCCAAATCGTTTTCACGTTATTATTTGTTTTCTCCTCTTTCTTCTTTGAACCAAAACTCTGTTTCATCCATAGTCTGGTGTATTTTAAAGAAAAAGCTGCCATGTAGTATTTTTGCATGCAAATGTTTGATTTGGCATTTATTATTTTTAATGATTTGGTCGGACTTCTCTTTTTTCCGTTCTTTAATATTTACAATGAAAGACTAGCTTTTTTTTTAATTCTAAAGAAATTTGTTTTTTTAAAAACCTAAATTATAATTTTTTTGTTTCAAAATAAATTATTAAAATTTTATAAGTCTAAGACATGTTAGATAATGTTATTTTTTAACAATGGTTACTGTTGGGAAATAAACGAGTAATTTTCCTATAACCAGATTAGTGAGAACGCGAAATAAAAGCGGAAAAATAATACCCGAAATTGATAACAGAGTTTAACCAATTTTGACTACGTCTCTTGACTGCTGCAGATCTTTTACTAAAGAGAGAAAATTTACAGGTGTTTACAAAACACTCACAACTCACAAGAGAACTCTCTAAACTCTTTAGTATTGGGAGGAAGAAATGATTTGAGATAATTTTGAAGTTAAATGAGTTATGTATTTATAGTTGAAGCTTAAGGATTAATCTTAAAAATATCCTAAAGTGTATGGACTAAAGTGCAATTATACCATTAAAAAATAACAAAATCAGTGTGCACCGAAAGCCACTGAATTGCATAAATTTGTCAAATTTAGCTTCCACCAATTTTGACTTTTAATAGTTACCACCTAAAAATACAACAAATATAACGAATGTAAAAAATTCTTTAAACACTTATTTTTACATTAAGTCTTTTTTTATTAAATAGTGGTTAATT